GCCCACCACTACGTAACTACCTACCTACCTACCTACCTGTGCCCTAGGGCGCCTCGGCGTGTCACGCCCCTAGAGGCCCCTCTTGACGGCCCCGCGCTAGCCCCGTTGAGGCCCCGTCGGCCCCACGCCCGCTCTCCCTAGCGGCCCCGTTCAGGCCCCGTCGGCCCCTTTAAGGCCCCGTTCAGGCCCCGCGCTAGCCCCGTTCATGCCCCGTCGGCCCCGTTTCAAGGCCCCGTCGGCCCCGCGCTAGCCCCTCTCACGCCCCGTCGGCCCGCGCTAGCCCCGTTTCAGGCCCCGTCGGCCCCGTTTCAGAACCCGTCGGCCCCGCGCTAGCCCCTCTCAGGCCCCGTCGGCCCCGCGCTAGCCCCGTTTCAGGCCCCGTTGGCCCCGTTTCAGGCCCCGATCGGCCCCGCGCTAGCCCCTCTCAGGCCTCGTCGGCCCGCGCTAGCCCCGTTTCAGGCCCCGTCGGCCCCGCGCTAGCCCCTCTCAGGCCCCGTCGGCCCCACGCTAGCCCCATTCAGGCCCCGATCGGGCCCGCGCTAGCCCCGTTTCAGGCCCCGTCGGCCCCGTTTCAGGCCCCGTCGGCCCCGCGCTAGCCCCGTTCAGGCCCCGTCGGCCCCTTGCTAGCCCCGTCAAGGCCCCGTTTGGCCCCGCGCTAGCCGCGCTCAGGCCCCGATCGGCCCCGCGCTCGCCCCTCTAGGGCCCCAACCGGCCCCGTGCCGACCTCGCCGACCCGTGCCCACCACCTAGAGGCCCCGGGCGGCCCGTTCCCGCCGCAGCACACAAGGGAGAGCGGGCGGCCCGTCCCCGCCGTGACCCGAGCCGCGCGACCCGAGCCACGCGCCCCGAGCCGAGCCGCGCGCCCCGAGCCGAGCCGCGCGCCCTGAACCGAGCCGCGCCACCCAGCCGAGCCGCGACCCGACCTGAACCGAGCCGCGCCGCCCTGCCCTACCTGGTTCGTCCTACCTGCTTCTCCTACTGCTACTGCTGCTATTTCTACTGTTCCAATGGCTAGCCCACAGGTTCTCGTGTTCGATGCTGAGGGCCGCCCTGTGAAGTTTGACACCTGGCTCGATGACCTGCACCTCTACCTACAGCTCAGAGCCAAGGATGACATCTCACTGTACGATCACGCCCTAGGCCATGTCACTGCCCCTGCTGCTACTGCTGACAGCACTGCCCGCTCACAGTGGCAGACTCGTGATGCCCACGCTCGCTTCGCCATTCGCAACTCCCTGCCGATAGACGAACGCGAGCACTTTGGTCAGCACAAGACAGCACATGCACTCTACACAGCTATAGTTGCTCACTACTCCTCACCTGCCTCTGCCGCACTAGGCCGTCTCTCCCTCCCCTACCTGTTTCTTGACCTGGCCTCCTTTCACACAGTCGCTCACCTCATCACGCACCTCCGTACTAGTGAGGCCCGCTTCCGTGCCGCCATGCCTGCTGAGTTCCTTGCCACGCACCCCCCTCCACTCTGGCTCACTCTCTACCACCTAGTCACCCGCCTCCCTAACACACTGCGTGCTGTCAGGGACCACTTCCTAGCTCGTTGCCCCACTGAGCTCACCATTGCCCTCCTCGAGAAGGAGCTACTTGCAGCTGAGACTAGCATAGTCGCTGTAGGTGCCTCTCGTGGCGACCCCCGTACCCCGTTCTTTGAGGGGTGTTCTCCTTCCCCCCTTCTTCCCTCTGTCGCCTCTGCTGCTGTCGACCTTCTTGGTACTGAGAAGGTCGGCGCTGCGTCTGCCTCGAGCGGACGCCGCAGCGGCAAGGGCAAAGGGGGCAAGGGTGGTGGCGGTGACGGCGGGGGAGGCGGCGGTGGGGGCGGTGGAGGCAGTGGGGGTGGTGGCTCGGCTGGAGGGGCGAGTGGTAGCGGTGGGGGTGGTGGCGGCAGCGGCGGGGGAGGTGGCAGGAGTGGAGGCGGCGGTTGGGGTGGCGGTGGACGAGGCGGCGGCAGGGGTTGGGGTGGTCGAGGAGGTGGCAGCGGTGGTGGTGGCCGTGGAGGCACTGGCGGTGGCCAGGGCCAGCAGCACACTCCCTCGCCCCAGGAGGTCCGTGAGTGGTACTCTCAGCACGGGGGTGGGGGTGGTCTTAGCTGCACGTACGTCATTCGCACTGGTGACCGCACTGGTCAGCAGTGTGGACGACCGCACGCCACACAGCGCTGCTTCTCTCGTCTCGACGACGCTTGGCGTGTTCAGTTCCCTCAGGCCACTGAGCTGCCCCGCTGGCTTGATCTCCTGAAGAAGGGGATTGATATCTATGCTCTAGACTTTGATGCTATTCTATCTGCCATGTATGTGATGTCTACTAGTGGAGAGGGTGCTGAGTACTTGTGTGTGCCGCCCGACCCGGGCATTAGGGCTAGTGCGTCTGCCGCTCCAGGTACTCGCGTGTCGGCTACCCCAGGTGCTGGTGAGGCTGCTGCTCTAGGTGCTCATGTGTCTCCCCCCCTTGGTACTGCGTCGACAGCCGCACTGCACACCTTCACACTGGACTCAGGTGCTTCTCGCTGCTTCTTTCGTGACCGCACTGCCCTTGAGCCGCTTGCTCGGCCAGTTGCTGTCTCCCTTGGTGACCCCTCTAGGGGTACGGTCATTGCGACCTCTTCCACTGTCCTTCCCTGCCCTGCGGTCCCGTCGGGCACACTGTCAGGTCTCCACCTCCCCTCGTTCTCTACGAACTTGGTGGCAGGATGTGCACTCCACGACGGGGGTTTTCACCAGCTCACCCCTGCCTACCAGCACGTGACACACTGCACGTGTGCTCGTACGGGCCGTCACTTGGCTACCTTCACTAGGCAGCCGGGGTCAGACCTGTACACACTGACTACTGAGTCCCCTCAGGTTGCTGCGACTGCGTCCGCGTCCGCGTCAGGTCAGCTGTCCGCCCCCTGCTCGTGTCGCTCTTTGGCACACGAGACTGTCCTCTGGCACCACCGCCTTGGCCACCCGTCTGTGCAGCGGCTTCGTGCCATGCACTCCCGGTACCTCTCTGGCCTGCCCAGGGTCCTTCCTGCCCTCCCACCCTCGCCTGCTCCTACCTGTCTCCCTTGTGTCGAGGGACCGCAGCGCGCCGCTCCTCACTCCTCCTCGTTCCCCCCGACGACTGCTCCCTTGCAGACACTCCACATGGACGTGTGGGGCCCAGCCCGCGTCCGTGGTCAGGGTCAGGAGAGGTACTTCCTGATAGTTGTTGACGACTACTCGCGCTACACCTCGGTCTTCCCCTTGCGCACCAAGGGTGAGGTCCCCGATGTCTTGATCCCTTGGATCCGCAGAGCCCGTCTCCAGCTCAGCGAGCGTTTTCACTCGGACTTTCCTGTCCTGCGCTTGCACTCTGACAGAGGTGGTGAGTTCTCCTCCGACCTCTTGGCAGCCTACTGTGCTGAGCACGGCATTGAGCAGTCGTTCACGCTTCCGGCTTCTCCACAGCAGAATGGGGTTGCGGAGCGCCACATTGGCCTGGTCATGGAGGTCGCCCGTACCTCCTTGATCCATGCGGCTGCCCCCCACTTTCTGTGGCCGTTTGCAGTCCGGTACGCTGCGCATCAGCTCAACCTCTGGCCCCGTGTCTCCTTGCCGGAGACCTCGCCCACGCTGCTGTGGACGGGGGAGGTTGGCGATGCGTCGCGTTTCCGGGTCTGGGGGTCTCGACCTTTTGTCCGTGATTCGTCTACAGACAAGCTCTCCTCCCGTGCTGTTCCCTGCGTCTTCCTCGGCTTTGTCCCGGACGCGTCTGGTTGGCAGTTTTACCACGCCACCTCGCGCCGAGTCTTGCCCTCCCAGGACGTCACTTTTGACGAGTCCGTCCCCTACTACCGCCTCTTCCCCTACCGCACTGCCCCGCTCCCCCCCCCCGCCTCTCTTCCTCGCGCCAGGTGCTGCTGTTGCAGACCCCCTCCCCCCTCAGGGTGCCGCTCCCTCAGGTGTGTCTCAGGTAGACCCGGTTGAGCCTGTTGAGGTAGCTGTCGACTCTCGTCCTGCTGGGGGTGCTGAGCCTGGGGGTGCTGAGCCTGGGGGTGTGGAGCCTGGGGGTGTGGAGCCTGGGGGTGTGGAGCCTGGGGGTGTGGAGCCTGGGGGTGTGGAGCTTGAGGGTGCTGAGCTTGGGGGTGTGGAGCCTCGTGGTGCTGAGCTGCGGAGTCCGGAGTCTGGGGGTTCTGAGTCTGGAGGTACTAGGCCTGGGAGTCCTGCACCTGGAGGAGCCCTCTCCTCGGAGCAGCTGCGTGCGTGGTACTTAGAGTACTGCAGCCTCCGGAGAGGTACCGCTTGAGCCGGACGTACTACTGGGACTGGTGCAGCACGATGGTGGCGGTAGTAGGGGACGTACTACGTGGAGTGGTGGGTCCAATGGTGACGCTGAGGACGACGAGGAAGACACGCATGGTTCAGGTGGCCGTCATATGCGTACCGCAAAGTCTCCTATTTTGCAGCGGGCGTTGGAGCATCTGCCGACGGACAAGGCGTGGAAGGTGAGCGGGCATGTTCCCGTAAGGGTCCATAGTTACGGGCCGGATTGGGTTGCAATATTGGTTTGTTGTTGGTCCACGGTGTACGCTTATGTTGTTCTTTGTGTATACCATATGTGCGCAGCGGGTATGCAAGCTCGCCAGGGTTCACATGTTTCTCAACAGGCCGACGTCGACGATGACCTTCTACCCAAGTAGCGACGATAAGACTCACGGAGTGTGCGCGGTGCTGGACCGCTTGCCTCACAGCTTCGCATGTTTGGCGTTGGCAGCTGACAGGTAGCGACGAGCTGATCTCAACAAGACGATATCTGAGTGGAAGACGCGGGCTGCCGCTCGCGTGCGAGACATTGCACTTCCCAAGCTCGGCCTGTTCCATGACGACAGGGATGCATCCAGCCTGTGGGCACCTGAAAAGGAGCGCAGTATCGAGAAGATAAGGGAGCGCATTGGGCTGGGCGCTGACCCCCCTGGTGAGTGCATGCGACCTGCGATGGAGTCGTTGCACATTTTTTGTTATGCACCAATGAGTGACTGGCGGACATTGATACTGACAGTGCGCATGTGGTGTGCAGAAACGCTAGTGCTCACGAGCTGGGCGCACGACAGGGATGGCATGCCTTTTGCCTCCCGGACGTTCGTGACATGTGCGAAGGCTGCACTCAAGCCGAAGAAGGCAGGGCTGGTGATGACACTGAAGGTGTACCACTTGGCCTGGTTGGAGCATGTGGTGAGTTTGTGCGCTCGATGTGTGCATTGTTGTGCCTCGTACTGTCAATACATTTGAGTGACGCTTTGGGTGTTGGCGCAGGTCTCCGACTGCGTCCTCTACTGGGAGGATAGGGAAGGCCGGCTTTCCAACTCTGCAGGCGGGGACGCCCACGTTGTGGACGGGCTCAAGGTCCTGGTGAAGGAGGCCGTGGAGAGGGCCATCCGGATCCGCAACCCCGAGTATGACGCGGAGCGCGAGGCGTGGATATGGGGGCGCCATGGACTGCGCATCTCTGCGTGCGGCCTGGAGCACATGAAGCCCACGGCCGCAGCTCAGTCCGAAGACCTCGTTGGGGATGACGACCTTTCGGCGTCAGTTGGTGCTGAGTAGGCCGTCAATAGTGGGGGGGTGTTTTACATCAAGGTGCGGACGGTTGACGGGGCAGGTGGAGAGAGTGGTGGATGGAATCATAGTCGCTTTTGTGTGCGGTGTTTGAGGATTAGATTTGTGGGCTAAAGGTGTTGCATGTGTCTGACAGAAAGTTAAGGATCATAGTTGTAGTCATGAGTTGTTTGGCTTATTGTGTGTGCGTTTGTTATCAATGGGGTCGTTATTGGGGTATTGATGCAGAAGATAGCCCAACACTGATAGTAGAGGTTGTGCAATGCGATGGGCAGCTGTAAACCAGGTGTGCGGGCGGTCTAATAGTGCGCCGCATTTGGCGGCGCGTTTCACGGAGTGTGCCATATGTCGCGATTGTGTTTGGACGTGCCCGTCACATCAGTGCGCACGTGTGGCACTCTGATTGGATATCATCATGGATAAGCGTTGAACTGGAACCTATGCCATACTAGACACGCACGCACCAAACTACGCGTGTCACCCTCCAGTACGGTAGAACGATCAGATTGACGCGATGGCGGATGGCGTACGGGTTCAAAACGCGCTGTGATATTCGCGGAGGGCGCGGCAGCTGTACGGTCATGATTGTTTCGCGCAGATTGTGCGAATGCATGTGGCGAGGAGATGATTAACTGATTACTAGATGTGCGAGAAGACGATTCGAAGGCAAGTGTACGGGGTAGATCGCGGATGTGAGCGTGACGTGGCAGCTCGGTGTTGGAGACGATGTGTACTGATGGACGATGCGGATAGAGTCGTCACCTAGTAGCGTGTGCAAAACTACTGGGTGGCGAGAGATCTGGCGAAGCGTACGATACGTTGGCGTTGCGACAGATGTACGGCGAGTGTGCAATGCTGGTTAGGGTGCAGACGCATGATGCGGCGCGTCGAGTGATGCCACGTGGGAACATGCTAGTGGGTCACGTACCCGCAATATGCGACGTGCGCACCGGTGGGGTGCTTCCAAATGTCACGTACGTACAGGGTGAGTGACGAGGAGATGGACGGAGAAGATGCGAGCGCGATGTGTCAGCGAGCATGTGCGAGTTGGTGCTCGCGAAGGAGTAACATAGTGTGCGAGTAGCTGCACGGGAGACGTGTGAACCGTCGCGATTGCGTGACCCAACGGTCTATCCAACGGAGGGATGGGTTGCGAGTACGTTTTGGTGGGTGTACGCTTACGTGGATTTACGGGTTGATACTGAATGCCACGTGGGTGGGCGCGTACGGAGTGGCAGTTGGGGTTGCTTACTCGTCACTTTCTAGTTGGTTGGATAGGTTAGGTTAGGTAAACTTTTGTGTGGTGCAGCCAGTTACGGTTAAGCAACGACAATGTAGCGGGTGTAGTCTCTGATTTTATGCATGCATATGTACAGAATGCAGCAGGATAGTGACTGGGTAGTTGCTTTGTAAGTTACTGTCGGTATGCAGTTCTAAAACCTTGACTTGAAAGTGTCGGGCAAAAAATATCGAGGAAGTTGCGGTAGAGTGTATTTTGAGTTGCTTTCCGAACTTCCCATTTTCACGATGGTAGTGCTTATGCTATTCGTCACTCAGTAGTTGGATAGGCACAATCTGTCAAGAATTGCCAAGAATGTTTGTGAAGAGCTTGTCAAGATTTGCTCTATGCTAGTACTAGCTTGTGAGTAGTTGGATAGGCACAATCTGTCAAGAATTGCCAAGAATGTTTGTGAAGAGATTGTCAAGAATTGCTCTATACTAGTACTAGCTTGTGAGGAATAGCTGATTCTGAGTAGTAGCTGTTGGCGAAGTAGCGATAGATGGGAGGGATGGATAAGCAGGAAGGATTCGAAGGAGGAGGGGGGATTCGAAGAGAGGATGCGCTTCGTAGGGTTTTTGTTCAAATTTGAGGTGGGTTCAAAATTATTGTACGTGTCAAAATTGAAATGAAACTTGGGGGCAAAACGTGGAAATTTTTAACTTATATTTCTTTTAAAAGGCTTGGGCAGGCTTGAATAACTTTTGGGCTGTATTACCAAAATCTACTCTGCCACAATTTGGCTCACGTGAAATCCACGTCAAATTTACAGAATTGACACAATTCTGCTTGTGGATGAATCATCTTTAAGACAACTCATCATTTTTAAGACAACTCATACAAAATGAACGGACTAGTGTGGTCCTGAATATAGTGAATCTAAATAGTTTAGCTTAAGGTTGTTCCACTATGACCATATTAATGTCATGACTGCTAAAGGCTGTATTTAATATATTATGGCTCGAAATCTGAAATTAATAGCAAATTAAAAATCAAAAGCATAATATACAACTTAATATAAAATTATAATTGTATTTTTCATACATCTAGTGCAATTTATGATATCCATTTTCAAATAGACGTCATTAATCTTACACGCAAGCAACATCTACGGTATTTATTTTACCCTCCAAACATGTGGCACGTTAAATGCATGTTTGATCATTCACCCATTCCAAAGTAGCAATCACTTACATATGCATTTGTGATCATACTATTACTTTTGTATGTTTATGACATATTAGTATTTGTAGATAGAAAATGTATACCTACGCAACCCATACGACGTTAAACATCGAGTCTTGTTCTCTCTCCAAGGACTTGGTAAATTTTCATGCGTGTTCCAGGTCAGCTGATGAAGCTCTTCACCCTTGCCGCCTTACGACGGTCATGGATTCTACCGAGCACGTCACTGACATCATCCTCGTTTCGATGAAGAACGCGAACATTCGACCACGTCACCATGCTAAGCATATAGTTGGAGCAAGAGAGGGACGCCAGGGAGCTGTTTGGGGTAGACAGGTTCATTCTCACCACTGATGCAGCCGCCATGCAGGTGGGCTCATGTTGCGGTGAGGTTGTTCGCTCGTGTTGACATCGCTCGGCATGAAACAACAGGGGCATCATACGTGGTGTATCAGACACTCAATGGCAAGCTCTGTAAACTGCACTAGCAGCACACAAAAAAACCTACCTTTTTTCGGAAGAAGGATCAGAACCCACAAGCCATTGAAGTCGTCATTAAGGGTGGTTCTGCGTGTGAAGAAATGAGGAATGAATGCACTGGGAAACAGGTGGGTACAAGTAGGAAAACCTAAAAGTGTTGTACCCCATATTGTCTACCCCACTACAGCCTACACAAACTATAGCATATGAGTTTGACACACCCCCATAGGCAAAGTGGGGGAGAACAAGGGGTCACAAGACCAGTCAAGCAAAGCAAAGCAAGCTCAGGGTGGATCACAACGTCACCACACATTCCGAGCACAAGTTCAAGGCCACAAGGCCAGTTCACATGCAAGATCATATATAAAGGTAGACAAGCAAGTGCGGGTATAGAAGATCACAGTACAAGCAAGGTCAAGAAGTGAGCAAGTGAGGCCAAGTAGGCACAAGACCTAGCATCGTACAGCAGCGCTGATGATCACAAGGCAGAAGTGCCTTGGTAAAGATATCAGCAGTGTTGGCCTTAGAGGCCACGTAAGCAAGGAGCAGCTGACCACGCTGCTGCAGCTCACGAGCAAGGAAGTAGCGAAGAGCAATGTGCTTCGTTCTGTGCTCCAGTCTGTGCTCCCGACACAAGGCCAGCATGGCCTTGTTGTCTACGTACAGAACTGGAGGAGAACGAGGATGTAGAACAACGGCAAAGAGGTGTCGGTGCGCAGAAATAGCGACGGGTCGGTAGTAGAAGGAGCAAACCCAAGAGCCGCAAGTGTAGTCCTCAGTGTGTCGTGCCACTCACGGGGCGCCTGGCGGAGACCGTAGACCGGTCGCCGGAGGCTCCACTGGGTACCAGGAGGAAACGACCTAGTGAAGCCAGGTGGGCGGCGCAGCCAGATCTCCTCGTGCAGGCTGCCCTGCAGGAAAGCTGTGCTGAAGTCAAGAAAGTGAAGCTCGTAGTCGCGCTGAGCGGCTATGTGCAGCAGCACCCGAAGAGTGGTCATCTTCGGGGTGGGAGAGAAGGTCTGAAAGTAGTCAACTCCCTGCCGCTGACTGAAGCCTCAAGCCACATAACACGCCTTGAAGACAGGCGGAGAACCTGGCTGGCCGCTTCACCCTGAAAATCCACATGCCACTGACGATGTTCGCCCCAGGTGGGGGAACCTCGTCAACGTAGGTGCGTGTGGACTTCCAGGAAGCCATCTCTGCGTCCATGGCTGACTGCCACTGTGAGGAGTAGGGACCCTCGATCGCCTCAGCGTACGATCGAGGAGTCGGGATGTCTGGTGCATCCGGGTCTCCCTCAGGGGCAATCAGCGTGGACACGAGATGAGGCAAAGCAGCAGCAAAACACTGGAACTCCTCCTGCCTGTCCTCAAGGACGTCCGTGCTAAGAGCACACTCACCCCCGACGGACGGAGGACAGACAGACTCAGACTCAGCAACAAGACTAGCGGCGTAGTCTAGACGACAGCGAGCAGCAAAGTCGACAAGCTCAGCAACCAAGGCAAACGCAGGAGTGGACTCAAAGGAAGGGTCAATGGCAACAGTAGCCAGGAGACGCGTGATAGTAGGACTGGCAGCACGAAGAGAGTCAAACTCCGGGTCAGCAAGAACAGGAAGCGAGGACTCTGGAGGAGACGGCAACGGGACACGCAGAGGAGCAGTGGAAGGACGCAGTGCCATCTGGTGTGTGCTTGGAACCGCAGGAGGACGCGGACGCGGAGCACGACTACTAGTACGAGCAGCACGAACAGGCGACGGAGGACGAGACGCAGGCTCACAACGCTCAGCAAGACCTCTAGTAGGACCAGTGTAGGGAGAAGGAGCAGGCAGAGGGGAGGCGGGTTGTAACTGTGACCGCGATTGGACAGGCTGTGGACACTCTAAGGGAGGAGCAGGACCAGTAGAGGGTGGGAGACCAAGAACCTGCTCAAGGAGCGGAACGAAGTACGGCCGCGGCCGCGCAGCGCCTCCAGAACCAGCAGGGACAGCACTAGTACCCCCAGCGGCAGCACCAGCGCCAGCAGCACCTCCACCGCCACACCCC